ATTTACACATGGCTTGTGTATATTGTATATATACATATATATTATTCATACCTTTGGTGTATAGGACGCAAGCAGATTTTGACATCATATTTTGGGGTAAAAAAGTGCGTCTTACACACCGAAAAATACGATAAAAGTAAAGCATTAACTCTCGAAGTCCATCAAACCTACTACTGCCACTGTGCCAATAAATGAGTAATGGATAAACAATTTCCACCTAATGATCATTGCACCATAAAAGAAAAAGTAATTTACTATTTGAAGTATTTAGTAACATAAATATTATCAGTCACTTTTATTTACATATTAATTTATTATTTACCTTGTGTAAGTCACGGAGTCTGAGTGTGCTTTAATTAATACAAAGTAAAAAACGCTTAAATATTATCAGTCACTTTTATTTACATATTAATCTATTATTTACCTTGTGTAAGTCACAGAGTCTGAGTGTGCTTTAATTAATACAAAGTAAAAAAACGCTTAAGTGAAACTCTTCAACTTCAAGGAAACATAAAATATTACTTAAAAGTTAAAATCAAAGGGCCAACTCTCTGACGCCACGCTTATGAACTACGCTTACAATCTACAAAGTACATCAAATGTGTGGTGCAACTGGACCTCAATGTCACCGGTGGTACAAAATTACATAGTAAGGGGTCGGAAGCACGCGAACTTTATCAAACTTGTATGACAGATAACTGTTGAAACCGTGAGTATAACAGAAACAATCCAAGGTTCAAGTCTTAACACTATCGTTACATTACTTACACTCAAAGTGTCATCTCCTGATCTTTCCTTCAGCGTGCTGACGTCTCTGAAACAGATTTCTATATCAAACTGGATTTAGCATTGACTCTTTCACGTGAAATCACCGGAAGTTACAAAGTGGCCATCTTGTTTATTTCTAGCCTGTTTATCATTATTAATATTATTTGCTACGACGTTGCGTAGACTGTAGTTTTCAGTTTGTAACCTGTATATATTGTAATCATTTCAATTAATGTTTCGTGGAATTATAACAATAGACCAAGAGCAGTTCCTGTGTCATTTCACTGATAAGTTTTATTGTTTTTCCGCAGTAAATATACGATTAGGAATTGATTTGCTGCTGCTAACATATTATTAATATTAGCACTGCCAGGGTAACTTTGACTTTTGAATATGGGGGCATACAGCTATTGTATTAAGTTCAACGTTGTTGTTGTTGTTGTTTTTTTCTTATGTTTTTGTTGATGATGATGATGATGTTGTTGTTTTGTTTATTAGCTTTAACTTTTATTATGATAAGGGAGAGCCCAGCATGGCCAAGTAGTTAGGGCGCTCGACCTGCAATCCTCGTCCCACCAAACATACTCGCTCTCTCAACTGTGGGGCGTTATAATGTAACGGTCAATCCCACTATTCGGTGGTAAAAGAGTAACCCCAGATTTGGTGGTGGGTGGTGATGACTAGCTGCCTTCCATTTAGTCTTTCACTGTTAAATTAGGGACGGCTAGCGCAGATAGCCCTCGCATAGCTTTACGTGAAATTCAAAACAAATGATAAGGGAGTTCTAGTTCTCAACTAAATCGATTATCGCACGTTTTAAAATTTTACCCAGTTTTTCATGGAAACAGCCCACAGGGTTAAAACATGGATTGTAAATATTCGGATAGACAAATGGTATTCAAATTCCAATAAAAGCCTGCATATTTACTCGTTAGAAGTGAACGAACGATAGCAGCAAACAATATGGACAGAATATCATAAGTACGGAAGCGCAAAGTGTCATATTCTTTCCTTCAACTACTCATTGTTGTACATCTAGCTCAGGTTTCTTGAGACATTGCCTGAGAACACATGGCCCCATGGGCGTTCGATGAGTGGGGGAAAAGGGAGCACGGTCCGCCCTGAAAATGAAAAACTCCATGCTTTTATTATTCATTCAGCATGTGTATATGAATTTACAAGTTTTTATTCACTTCACAATTTTACACTACTTATGACACTTAATTTTCAATCCTAAGTAAAGTCGCGAGATTTGTCAGCAACTTTACTTAAAATCTCTATAGACCTAACATGCAGCTAAATATTGATAAACGTCACCACCACGGTGGTTTCTTGGATATTAGAAATGGCAATTTTCGCTCAGATCGTCAAAGAGACCGACGCGGTATGACTTAAACTAATTTTACAAATATTTCACTTATCAAATCTGACTGTGGGATCTTGCCTATTCGCTTTACTTTAATGGAAAAACTTTAAATGGAGGTCTAACGTCCCTTGATTTTCACTTTGCTCCCACCCTGGAAAAATTTCTCCAGACGCCCATGTATAATTTTCAAGCATTATTTCGGTCAACAAAGGAGAATTATAACTCGACATGACAGCGGTTTTTATGTACTGTAGCATCTTGTCTGTCACCTTACACTAACTAAACTCGGGGGAAAGTGTTAAGCTAGCGACAGAGTGCCCTCGAAATTACATGGTGTACGGTTTTGTAATTCACAATGGTCCCATGTTCAATTTTCAATCTTTATTTTGGTCAACCAAGAAGATTTGTAACTCAACATGATAGGGGTGTTTGATATACTATGGTATGTTGGCTATCACCGCCCACTAACTAAAAAGTGTTGAGCCAATCAAAGGAAAAGCAAAGCAAAGAGACATCACGACAAAAATAGAAAAAGACAGACAAAAACAGGGATGAGAACATGGAACAACATAAGAGATATTGATCTGGTAAATAAATATCGGTGAATTATTCTATTGTACCGACTTGTTTGAAATATTTTATTTACAAATCAAATCAACATCATCTTTTAAGTTTCTATCATAAGCCACATAAAGAAAAACATAATGTGTAATGCTTGTTGCCAGTCGTACATGAAGGGTGCTTAGGCCGTTAGTCGTTAGTTCCACCCATCCTCCCATACAAATAACTAACCTATAAAGTTCCGTGCAACAACTCAAGAAAGGTAAGCCAAATCTTTATGCCCTCTTGTTAGGTTTTTTATAGTGCCGGATTCTTTATAGTAGATGTATGTGACTTGTTGACGATAAATGTCAACAATAAACGGACAACACACAATCAATTTCTTTTAAAATAATATATTAAAAACAAGTTAAATCTATGTACAAAACTTCGTGTCAGAATTTAAAATAATATAACTTTCCTTATTGCCAATTGTCGAATAGAGCCCAAGAGTTGGCGGTGGGTGGTGATGACTAGCTGCCTTCCCTCTAGTCTTACATTGCTAAATTAGGGACGGCTAGCGCAGATAGACCTCGTGTAGCTTTGCGCGAAATTCAAAAAACAAACAAACAAAAAAACAATTGTCGAATAGAAAAGCTTTTAGTTATATTAGGTCGTCAATAAATTAATGTCGCTTTTTTAGATTAAAAACCCTAACAACTTATGTATATCAAAACAAAATATTTATTAAACGAAATAGTCTCCATTCTTGTTGATGATGCTTTTCCATCTTACAATCAGGTTGTTAATGCCCTGATTTAAGAAATCACTTGGCTTTGAAGCAAAAAACATGTCGATGCCCTCTTTAACACCTTCCAAATTTGCATACATTTTCCAATTAAGATGGTATTACAGCAAACGAAAAAGATGTGAATCTGATGGTACTGTTACGCCTATATGTTCGTTTGTTAATTTCCCGTATACTTTCTTTCGGATGAAACTTTAGCGATACAAGTCCTTTCTTAAATAAAACTAGTTTATTCTTTCTCAAGTCAACTTTGCAATACACTTAATTTCCACAGCCAATTTAACTTAACTAATTTTATAAAAACACGTTATAATTCACAATGATTCACGCACTTACTTACGGTCACTACCGCGCTTGACTCAATTGTCCGTCTTTATCTCTGTCTGTCTGCAATTCAATTCCGATTAATTTGTCTCACGTTATCCGGCGCACTTATATACAGGAATAGAGGGCGCCTAGCACATACTGGATTATTCGTGATGTTCACCAATCCTTCAAGAATATAATGACTTGTTACCATAGTCACGTGACTACCGCTGTCGTAACACTGCCTCTTCCTTAGTACTGTTCGTCCCGAACAATAGCCACATTAAACCAATAAACAATTAACAATAACTTAATTAAATGTACAGAATTTACAAACACAAAATTAAAATTCAACAAAGTCTCTTAATTTTACATACTAGTCTTTTACGTCTTCTTCCGTACTGGTCTCAGTCTCGTTGGCTTCTGCTTCATGTATGATTCATCTGCTTCATCAGGAAATGTCCTACCATCGGTAACAGTCACATCAGTGGTAATAACTTCATCAAGGGTTTCACTGTTTCCCTTCTCAAAACCGAGTAGAGTTTCTTTTTCAACAGTGGCTTTTTCAGGTGAAACGTCCTCAGCAGAGTCATTTGTTCTGTTGTTCACTTTGTCCCAACTGAAATGTCCTGGACCGTGATAACGCCAAAGCCTGTTGGCATGCACCACCTTTGGCTTACCTCGCCACCCACATTTTATTCGGAAAGTCACATCTGAGAGACGATCCACTATGTCATATGGACCTTCCCATGGAGAAGACAACTTAGGAGACTTCCCTTTTGTCTTCCTGGGATTATACAACAACACCTTGTCTCCTGGTACAAAGCTGACTTCAGTTGATCTCTTATCATAACATAGCTTCATGGAATCAGCAGGCGTTTTTAAGTTTGAAT